CCCCCCCCCCCCTACAGCACAACTTCTGCCGTCACAGTCAAGTCAGCGATCAGGAGGCTGAAGGAGTTGAAGGAACAGTAAACTAGTGAGATGATCACTGGAGGATTTGGGACTTTGTTTTCAAAAATGAACCAACCTGGACTTGGCCTCAACATCCAACAATAAAGCTGTCTGGAGTGGAATTCTGTGTCCATGATCATTTTCAATATAAATGAAATCAAAATGTGCTTGTGTCAAAGATGTCATGACAGCCAAACACAGATGGAATTGAAGGAAACAATACCCCATCCACATTGAAATGAGTCATGATGTATGTGTGCAGAGTTTGAAAAAACAATAATTTCTGCAGTTTGCTGCAGATAAGATAACAAAACCTTTCTTTGTCTCACAATGGAAAAATTCCCATATCTAGGCTTCTATTTTGAAGCACAGGTTCTACAAAGTTATAATTTAACACAAATGTTTTGCTGGTTTAGCCATTGCTACTATTATGTGTTGGTATCACACGGCAATCTCGTTCTCTTTTGAGTAACGTGTGGATTTATTTTTTTAAGTGATAGGTTGACATGGCTTGTTTGTTCAGGGTGTACATTTTCTTTCTACATAGGGTCACTGAATTAGCATTTATTTTGAGTGGGATTGCAATTTGAGTAATCTGCCAAACAGTCACTTGAATGGGACTTTCTGAAAAAATATATACATATTTGTGTTAAAATATAGTTGTGACTGGGCTTGTTGGCAGAATTTTGTGAGTGGGATTCTTATAAATACCGCACTTAAAACGGAACCTAAACAAATCCCAAATGATTCTACATAATTCAGCATAACCTTGAGTTGGTACGCCAGTTGCTGGTCATAGGTCAAAGTACTGAATGATTGTAATACTGCTACACTACAGTAGGTGGCGCAGGTTGACTGCCAGGGAAAAAAAAGACAAAATCATGGCTGCGCGCAGTGTCTTTCGACCGGGTTTGTTCAACCATAAAGTTGCAATAGTGACTGGTGGAGCGACTGGCATCGGAAAGGCAATATCTACTGAGCTAGTGGAATTGGGTGAGTCATGTGGTTTTGTCTTTTTTCCCCCCGCTTCCAGTCGTCCCAACTCGTTAAAAAACGTTGGCGGACTGACTTACTCTACGCCAGTTCGACAAACTAGCTCTGTCCAGTAAATACTGGATGTGTTCAGCATGTTTTTAAGGTGCATACATTCCAGCATTGTCAATTCAATTACTCGGCGGTAGCCTACAGTATATACACAGAATCATTTTAATTTTTCAAATATCCATATCCTTCCATTCATTTTTCTGTAGTACTTGGCCTCATGACTGCTGCGGGTGAGTTGAAGCCTTCCACGCAGAAAAACAGATTATTAACCCTAGTTTGATAACAGTGAGACAGAAGATCCTTTTCACGGTTGCACCGTACTTCTTTGTAAATACTGTTCTCTAATTATAATGATACACATACATATGGGACCAGGGGGTGCTATAGCTCCACCAGATATCTGCGTAGCCCCAGTTAAGCCCCCCCAGAATTTCATTTGATATTCTAAAGTATAATCATAAATTATTTTCTAAAGATCCCTCATAACCCCCACGCCCTCCCATGCCCCACCATTCATCCTACCCATGTATCGGTCAAGACCGCGAGAGAGAAAAAGTCCTGGAGCCATGCCTGGATATTTGAAGTCATAGTTGTTGAGTCTTCATTCATTGCACTGTAATAGGTCAGCACTCCCAAACTTGTCCTCAGGTTGCAGTGTGGTGATTTCCAGCAGAAAAGCAGAGAGATTGGAGGCAGCTGCCCAGGAGATGAGACAAAAAATTCCAGCTTCCAGCCCCGCATGTGTCACTCCTCTACCTTGCAACATCCGTAACGAGGATGAGGTGCACTGCACACTCCTTTGACCTTGATGACAGCGACCTCATTAAATTGAAATTCGTCATGCACAGTGCTGGTCTAATTCCACTCCAGGTAAAGGCTCTCGTACGCTCAGTGCTGAAGCAGTATGGTCGCATCGACTTTTTGGTGAACAACGGCGGCGGTCAGTTCAGCAGTCCAGCAGAGCACATGTCTTCGAAAGGATGGAAAGCTGTGATCGACACAAACTTGACTGGCACCTTTCACTGTTGCAAGGAGGGTGAGGAAGCATTCACTCACATTTACGCTCTGTGTTTAAAGATAATACATGACTGTGTTGAGGACTGCACCAGAGTTATCATCGTTTGAGGTTTTTCATTGTAGTTTGTTTTTATTTTGTTTTGACTTTTGTATTTTAAATGCAGTTAGTTTTATTTCGTTTTTCAAGACAAGTTAGTTTTTTTAGTTTGTATTTTTTCGAAACCGCTTTGTTTTGGTTAATTTTTCAATTAGTTTTGTATTAGTCTTAGTTTTTTTAAAAATACATTTTATATGTCATGTGCAAGATTAAAAAAAAATCACTTACTATTGTGTAATAAAGTAAACCACAATCCTCAAATGACTGACCTTCCTTCTTCTGTAATGACGGATGTACAGAAGTAAGAAATAAAGCTTGTGTGAAATTCATTGACAAAGATAAAAACAAAGGACATTTTTGCTCTTCGTTTAGTTCGTTAGTGGAAATATTTCTTTTTTTAATGTTAATTTTCATTATTTCATTTTTGTTCATTCCAATAACCTTGAGTTGCACTCCACAGTGTACACGACATGGATGAAGCAACATGGAGGTGTGATCGTTAACATTATTGCTGACATGTGGAAAGGCTTTCCGGGCATGGCGTAAGTAGTCATCCCTGAAATGTAGACTGGTCCAAACCTCAAATAGAGCCCTTGACTGTGTTTGGAATCCATCTTCATCCACTACTTAGTCAACTCACCAAACACGCTTTGAATGTGCAGTGAGTCAAGTTCTTCCCTACATCAGGGACGTTCAAATTAAGGTCCATTTTTAATGACCCAAAGCATACACTACAAATAATATTTGATACGCCCCTCCGTCTATTACTACTACTACTAATGCTAATATTACAGTGTATGGTCCAGTAGTCATCTAATCCAAAAATTAGTAGGGAATGAATGGATGATTCCAAACACAGCCGTTGTCTCACGGACAGCCACACAGGCGCAGACAGAGCAGCAGTGGATAACTTAACAAAGAGCCTGGCCATTGAGTGGGCTGCCTCAGGTGTCCGAGTCAACGCTGTTGCCCCGGTATGCACAACGCCTGCCTTGTTCCATTTCCATCAATGTTTGATATTGTGGTGTTTCAAGCCGGTGTACGTTTGGCTGCAGGGCACAATTTTCTCTAAATCGGCAATGGAGAACTACAAGGAGCTCGGACCAACCCTTTTCAAGATGTCTGTCACTTTTAGTCCTGCAAAGAGACTTGGAGTACCAGAAGAGGTGTGAGTTGTGACAATTTAAAGATACCATAACACTCATTCCCCCACTATCCACGGGAGGGAGGGAGGGACCAACCCCTTCAATCAATAGTCAAAATGTCTGCCATCACTAAATATGTTTATAATTTCCTTTTATGGCACAAGATGGCAACAGAGCACTACTTTTGTCTAAATGAAGCGTCCCAAATCACTTCAACCGCGGTTAAGGTAGAAATTTTTCATTGAATATCAGGATAAGGCAGAGACTACGATTATGGAAATTCAGTCATGTTGTCTTGTCAGAACAGCTCGACAAAGTCATCACTGCTCTGCTCTCTTGTGCAATCTTTGACAAATATCCAAAGCACAATAAATTGCATTGTTTTTGTCCTCGATATTTTGTTTGTGTGGTCAGATTTCATCTGCAGTTTGTTTCCTGCTCTCTCCTGCCGCCTCCTACATTTCTGGAGCCACACTGAAGGTTGATGCAGGGCAGAGTCTGTACCACTCCATGTGGGAGATACCCAGTATGTTGAATTTTGTCACAACGTGCCTTCTGCACTGCTTGTTCCCCTCCATACAATTGTGTTTTACTCTGCTGTGCGTATCTGTGTGTCTGTGTCTAGATCATAGTTCGTGGCCCGAAAGTCCAGATGGGGAAAACCTGGATGCACTCAAGGACCTATTCAATCCCCAAAGCAAGCTGTAACTCATTCGTCCCACGATGATACCACAAAAACATGTAATCATCAAATACAATGCTGTCTGATTTAGACAAGACACAGATATGCTATGAATATACAAATGTGGGGTTTCTTGTAATACTGGAAACGTTTGAATGTGAATAACTAATTATCTGTGACAATTACGATAATGTGTAACAACAATTACTATAATGTGTAACATGTTGTACATGTTAAATAAATGTAATTACTGTTTCTAGATGATACATTGTGCCTGAAATTTTACTATGTCAACGGTATCAAACGTTTTGCTCAGCACGCAATTTATGCCTCATTATGTTTTAAAAGATGACAGGTGATAAGTCCCCTAATTATGTTCAATGTGGTTGATTGTGAGACGTTGCCTTGACACACTACAGTCCATTATTACTTTTCCAAATTTAAATAAAATACGAATAACAAAACTGCCGTTGGCGTTTGTTTTGTCCTAAACCGCTTGCCATACTTCTGCCGTATTGTAGTCGAAACTGTCGTAACCGCGCAGAAGCAGAGGTCACGACACAGGATCAGGGTACAGTGTTTTTATTATTCTTATAAAACGATGTTTCTGATAAACGCTATCGTTGTTCAGCCACATGAAACATCAATGGTTTGTTGATACATGATTGTTTAGTACCCCAGAAAAATGTTGCAATTATTGCTAAAGATTAGCCACAAGTAACGAGCTATGCTAGGTTCAGCAAAATGTTATTTTAGTGTATTTAAAGCCATGGATTGAGGTGTTATTTATTTACATTATTGAAATCAAACAAGTATCTATGCACAAAACGTTGTGTCATTAACTGAATGTCAAGTGTCGTGTGTTAGTTGTCATAATACTTATGAAATCGCCTCAACGGTAGTGTTGGCAGTTGCTTATTGTCACAGGCGCTTTACAGGAGTAAAATTGAGAGCCTTTATTATTTTTTGAGACTTAAAGAATGACGGCATACAGTTAGTCGTGTTATGATTGTGTACTGTGGCGTTAAAACATAGCCAGATGGCCAAGTATAACGAACTCGAGGTTAGAGAGATACAATATTCTATATTCATGCATCCCTGTTCGCCTGCATGTTTGACAATCAGATCTGTTCAGGGTGGGAGCAATAATGAGTCGAGTGAGGCTTTATAAAATGCAAATATGTGTTTCCCTAACTTTATAACAGCATTCATGAAAAATATGCAGAGCAGTTTATTTGGTCGCTGGACTTTGAGGGAAATACAGTATGTTGAGTTTGGGCTTGGAAGTGAAATATGTTCTCATTCACTCGTCAGAATGGGAGGTGACCATGGCCACAGCAAGATGTCCATGCCAGACTGGCGGCAGTGGAAGACTGAGGGCACTCCACTGGAGTTTACACAGCAAAGGCTGGCGGCCAGGGGCCTCAAGGACCCATGGGCCCGGTGAGCGTTTACATAGAGCTGTCTTAATACAGTACTTGAGACATCACTAATAGTGCATTGATTGCCAACTCAATTGTGTCTATCTCTCATTGTTTAGTAACGAAGCATGGAGGTACTCTGGTGGCTTTGCGCGTGCTGTCACTCTGTCCGATGTGCTGCTAAAAGGATTCAAGTGGGGCTTTGCTGCCTTTACTGTTGCCTTAGCTGTTGAATATGCCCTGTTCCCACCAAAGAAGGGCTCCCACTGATGCACAGTCTCTTTGATCAACCACGTGGTTTAACCTTTTGGTCCTACACAATAACGTGCAGTTCTCCCCACACTGTTAGGTTTATTTTGTTTCATTCGTAAATCAGATACCTCAGCTGCCACTCTAGTCTTGCTTTCTCTTTCTGCTCAGTTTCCGACAGCAGAACTTTAAACATTTTGCTGTCAAGACTATAAAAACGAGCACAATTGTAGCAAGTAGTGCTATTACGTCCAGACAGAAGTACTGGAACCAGTTGAGGTCATGGACGGCTGCTTTAAGGTGTTTGGCCCCTTTATGCCGCATCACAAACTCAGTCCAGTACACCGAAAGGTCCAGTGGATCAATGGGACGATCCCTGTGTAATGCTGACAGCCGCATCTCTTTGATCAACCACATGGTTTAACCTTTTGGTCCTACACAATAACGTGCGGTTCTCCCCACACTGTTAGGTTTATTATGTTTCATTCGTAAATCAGATACCTCAGCTGCCACTCTAGTCTTGCTTTCTCTTTCTGCTCAGTTTCCGACAGCAGAACTTTAAACATTTTGCTGTCAAGACTATAAAAACGAGCACAATTGTAGCAAGTAGTGCTATTACGTCCAGACAGAAGTACTGGAACCAGTTGAGGTCATGGACGGCTGCTTTAAGGTGTTTGGCCCCTTTATGCCGCATCACAAACTCAGTCCAGTACACCGAAAGGTCCAGTGGATCAATGGGACGATCCCTGTGTAACGCTGACAGCCTCTTCATGTTCTCTTTGTACCTAAAACAATGACCTTTAGTTGGATTCATCTTCAAACTTCTATGGCAATGTGTTCACACCGAGGGGGGGGAAATCCCTACCTAGTGTCATTTATGACCTCATTCAGTCCCTGTAGCAGGTCTTCTGCAGTGATGGATGAAATATCCAACACCACTCCCACTCCTCGACTCGCCATTCTTGCTGCATTGTCAGGCTGGTCCCCGCCAATCGGTACCATCACCATCGGAACGGCATGACAAAGTCCCTCGAAGAGACCGTGTGAGCCAGCATGAGTGATGAAGGCCCGAGCTCCGGGGTGAGCTAAAAAAGTTGGTTGAGCAATGACATATCGTAGTTGGATCAGAAAACGTGCATTGATAACCATCCATCTACAGAGTTACAGCCAGGAGTTTATTTACCAAGTAAGTCGTTTTGGGGCACCCAGGTTGTAGACTCGATCAGAAAACATGTGCATTGATAACCATCCTTCTATAGAGTTACAGCCAGGAGTTTATTTACCAAGTAAGTCGTTTTGGGGCACCCAGCTCATCATCTTGACATTTTCTGGTGTATTATCAGGAGCAACTTCAGAATATCTCCATATTACCTCACAAAGAAAATTGATTTTTTTCAAGTACTGCACTAATGTTTGGCCAGACAGACAAAATAGTTAGCTCACAAATATTTGTGTAGACATTAAGCATGAAGAGTTTTTTGTTTTTTGCAATATGCCATTTACCATTAAGAAATTCATCACCAAAATGACAACGGTCTACCTTCTGTGGAATCTGTCTGAACGCTTCAAGAAAGACTTGGGTTATTTCATCTGGCATTTTCTTCATTGAAGTGCCCAGTGTGAACACAACAAATCCCTGTTTTCCCGACACCCAGGGCTCCAAATCCTTGGACAAAAACACAGTGAGGCATTTCTTTGACATTTGACAGGCATTACAGTTGCAGTCACATGTAAACATACTCGGGGGGCCTTACTTCAGGCAGAGGATTCCTCACGTTGCAGTTGATGCCCCCGACTGGCACCATGTTCGGCATGAATGGGCGTGGAAACTCCATTGTGAAGTCAATCCTGTTCCAACACATTTGTTTAGAGCAGGGACTTGCAGAATGAGGGGTGTGCCCCATTTATTTAATTTTTTTCATAATTCTGCTCACAGTTGAATGGAATGACTTCGGCACGTTACCTGTGCAGCCAGATTGCCGAGTCTGAAAGCACCTCAGCCACACCCACGTCCTCTTCCAGGAACTCTTTGGCAATTTGGTCAAAGCGCCAATAGATGAGTCGGCAGAGGAGAGGCTCCAGCGCACTCACCTGAAAATCACCGAATGGTAAACAAGCTGGAGCTCCACATTTCACATGATGGAGTTTCAAAGAAAGAAGACACTCTTAACCGAAACAAATATCATGACCAGACACTTTGAAAACGGTGTCAGTGTTCACCAGAGTGTTGATGACTCTTTGTTTGAAGTCCATTTTATCTGTGAGGCCCGTGAAGAAGCGAGGCACGTAGGAAGGCGGCGAAGGACACCCTGTAGACTGCATGTCCAAAAAACAGGGAATTCCCCTCAGTAAATTAACCGTGGGAATACCTGAAAAGGATCCAGAAAAACGTGGTCATGAGAAAAATTGCAGTGAAAAATCAAAACCAAATGGTTTGCTCCGCCGGGTCCTCCCACATAGCAAAAACATGCACGTTGGTGGGGGAAATCTATTTCTTCTCCACTTGGCTTTGCGTGATTGATTGAATGCTCTCTGAAGACTCAAAATTGTTCATAGGTGTGAAAGTGAGTGTGAATGATCGTCTTGTTTTTATGTGCCCCGTGTTTGGCTTGAGAATGGGCAGTCCGCTCCAGCTGTGACCCTAATTGAGGACAAGCGTTCGAGAAAATGGATGGAACGTATCTCAGTGCATTCACCTAATTTCCGAGCTATCAAAGAGCCACTGAGTGTGAATGATCGTTTTGTTTTTATGTGCCCCGTGTTTGGCTTGAGAACGGGCAGTCCGCTCCAGCTGTGACCCTAATTGTTGAGGACAAGCTTTCGAGAAAATGGATGGAACGTATCTCGGTGCATTCACCTAATTTCCGAGCTATCAAAGAGCCAGTGGGCACCATGGGGTCTGTCAGGACAGCGTCAAATCTCTGTGGAATAAGGAGGAGTTTAAGAGTTATCCACATAAGCGCTATACTGTAGACAAAATCCTTCCCACCATCCTCACCGTCGTACTTAACTTGATATGGCTGACAAAAATGCTACTCACAAAAAGTTAGGAATATTCGGATTTAGGTTGGAATTTTCAACCTAAAATTCACTATAACCTTTGTGAACTTAATTTGACCCTATCTAAATTGTTGAAATGCATATGCGCAACTGTAAATTGTTAATGTACTTTTTTTGCACAACTTGCTGTTCTCTGACAAAAGGGAAGAACAGTAAAATTCCCAACAGGTGTTTGAACCGTGAATCGACCCATTCACTTGTCCACCTCTGTACCTTTCTGTGACTCTTCCAGTCTCTCTCCTCGAACGCGCTGATGACATTGAAACATTCACAGCCCAGTGGCCACTTCGCTTATCATCCCTTCAAAGCCTCGCAGTGGTGGGCTGCTTTTGACCGAATGTTAGATGTTGTCTTGGCCAATGATGTCAACAGATGTCAAGTGCAAAATGACACAGTTTGACATTCCAAAGTTAACCGAAGGTCAGATTACATTCACCTGTATAGTTAATAGTACAGGTTTATCCTGAAATTTCACCCGACAGCCCAATATTGCTAACTTTTCATGAGTAGGGTATGAATAAGTCCAATAAAATGAGTTTTGGCAGACACTTCATAAATACAAAACCACAGCAGCCCAATATGATGTTTTATTGGAAGGCACTCACCTGCTGAGCCAGATGCGAGATCAGACTGGCATTGAACAGAAGGCTTTCTGCGGTGGTGTGAAGCAATTCTGTAATTCTTTTTATCTGCGAGAATTTCTCCTGAATTCTCTCCAGGAAAGGCTGCGTAGCTTTTCCCAGCACATCTTCATTTTTGGACATTATAAAGTCAACAAAAGCCTTGTCAAATGGAAGAGGGTAGATCAGTGTCTCGTAGTGCTCCCCCGGACCGATCAGTATGGTGATCTCTGGCATCACAACGGTGACCCGGTGCCCGCGCCGACCCATTTCCTGAGAGATGGCCTTCATACCCACCCAGTGGCTCCCATCCATCGGTACCACCAGCAGTTTCCCCACGTAAGCACCGGTGTGACCTGCGGGGATGTTGTCTCTTGCTTCAGATCCTCTGGCCTGATGCACGATATCAGCCATGTTTAGCAGCAAGAGCGTCCACACTACTATCACCCTCATTGTTGTCTTTCCCTGTCTGGGCAGCGCACGCTGCGTGAAAAAAAATGAGGAAGTGAAATTCTCCCCGAGGCGACTGCTTCCTGTGTCTTCCTTGCTGAAATTCCTCATTGAATTCCAAGCGCTGTGTGTGTTCAAAGTCCTCCCTCCCTATGAAATGAGTGAGTTGTTTGATAAGGCAGGATCAGTCATTGACTTTCTGAGTGGATGGTTCACTATTTCAATCTAAAGAACAAGGCGTCAAATTTATAAGGTGCACTCTACTCTGCAGAGGTGTGAGGAGAAATCCACAGTAGGTCCATGATCGCAAAGGCCTAGTAAACTGTGCAAACCCCTAACGTTTACTGTGGGGGGAATGTAGCACCATTGATATCCTCTCATGTTATGCAAAGAAGATTTTACGAATATGAATTAAATTTTCATGCTGGGAACTGATGCATGCATCTATAGTCAAATTAAATTTTTAATAAAATTGAGAAACATTTTTAGTAAAGTAAAATTTTCATTTGAAAATTTCATTAAGATTTTTTAAAACATATTTTCAAGGAGTAAAAATTAACAGCGGAGATATGCAAGTTATATTCCTCAACCCTCCCCTGTTTATACTGGGACCAGATTAAATCTACTGTCCGAAATTTACTGTGTACATTTTGCAAAACCACACTTGAAGTTTCCCAAACAAATGTGAGAAAATGTGTCCGGTCCAATGAAACCAAATAGTTTTTGGCCATAATTTAGAAAAACAAGTATGTATGGGAACAAACAATAATGCTCAGCACCCCCCCAAAAAAATCACCCCACTTAAAGTGAGGCACAAAGGTCGCATCATGATTTCGGGTTGTTTTTCTTCCCTCCTGTAATAGAGCGACAATGTGGCCGCGAGGGGGCAGTGTGTACCAAAGTTAGCTTGATATGTCGTGGACGAAGAAGAAAAAGGGACGCCTGTTTGAGTTCTAGTAAGGTTTAAACGAAAGTTGAACATTTGTTATGAAAACCAAGCAAGTTTTCGAGCTTATGTGGCATAATGTTAAGAAGCAGGCACGTGGCTAAACATTTCAAGTTTGATGTTGACTCCGGCGATGGAAGCGCCAACACAAGCAGGCCGTGAGCCGTCTGAGATTAAGTAAGATAAACGCTACTTCTTCCAGTTCGTAGTTTTGATAGCCCGCGTCTGGGCGGACGCTTCTTGCCATTAGCTAACTACATTTTAGAATGTTTTAATCAGCGATAGACAAGCGGAGATTCATGAACATGTGATTTGAATTTGTGGGTGACAAGTATTTGATAATATCCGGGCTTAAATATCAGAATAAGCTTGTTTTCATTTGGCTTTGTTCGAGAGTTTTTGTTTGTCCTCCATTCAACAGAACTCCAGGTAGCACCGAATATGAATCCGATTGCTTTGAATCATACAACAAATCAAAACAACTGGAGGTTTTCCTTCAGAGGTGAGGTCTAACTTGAAACCGTGTGTATCCATAGTGTGACATCATTGATGGATGAAGCTCTTATATTTATTTGGTTACAGCTCTTTAGTGTACAGTCTGAATTGGAGAGTCACCATGAAGACTAGACACTCTTCCAGGTTGAAAACAGCTTCAAATAGGAAGCAAGACAAAAGTCCCAACCTAAGTGAAGATGTCATCCAACGCCGGGTTCGGCCAAAGAGGAGGAGGACTAGGAGGATGGGATTTGATGTCAGCGACATTAATAATGAGGACGACAGCAAGGATGTCATCAACAGTCATGTGGAGGAGGAGCCTGAAGAGGGTAGTAGTGTACAAGTGGTTGATCAAGGATTAGATGATTCAGATGATCAGTGTTGCTCCAGCGCTGCTCCTCCCCCACTGATGGTCAAGGCTCCCAACAAAAAGAGAAGACCACCGAGTGGCCTCTGCCCCCCCTGTCGGAAACTCTACCAGAGGGCAAAGAGGTTGAAAACTCCCATCAAAGATAAACTTTTGGATAATGGTAAGCGTAGCTGGGCTTGCTTATTGCGAAGGGGGTTTCCTATCTTTCTTATGGTTTGTATTTCAGATCCCACCTCCTTAACGTGCGACCACTGGGTCCTGCTGAAAAAGTGGAAGCCAAGTCGGCTACCTCACTCGGGGTGAGTCAAACCTTTGGCCCGAATGCTGAAGGTGGCACGCGAGCAGAAATGAAGACGCTCGATTTTGTGTTGTCAGGAAGCTTTCCCGCAGCGTCCTCCTTGTTCACACACGTTTGAAGGGGAAGAAAAAAGCAAAGGATGATGAGCATCAAAACTTGTGCTCAAGGCTGCATGTTTTCCTTCAGAGGTAATACTCGAAACCTCCGAATGCCCATTTCCCCGAAAAGACCGTTGAATTGACTTGTTTCCCGCAAAATCCGCTGAATGTGTTTTCGCGTCAGGAACCTCAGGCGGCCTCCCAAAGTGCTGGCAAGAAAGGAAAGGAATAGCGGCCAAAGGAAGAGGGCAAGAGACGACTCTCAGGATCCTCAAATGGTCAAGCAGAAGCATCTCCGCGGCAACAGCCTCCTGCAGGACGACAGCGGCTACTGTCACGAGAGGAGCAGCTTTGACTGGACTCGTGCCGGTCTTGATGTTGAGGGATGTCCCAGTGGGGAAAGCAGCCATGAAAACAACTCAAATGTGACCGCCAACATTCCCTGTACGTTCACCTCGGAGACCACCGAGCCGGGGGCCATCCCACGCAAGCCAAAAGCGCCGAGGAACAAGACGGCATTCCAAGACTTGCTCGCCCAGTTACGTGGCAACAGCAGCATGATTTTCAAAGAGACCCAGTAGACACTTTCGGCTCGGCGCGTTGTTCAAGTTGCTGGTTTGGCTGGCTAAAGGAAGTCTTGCAAGTAAGGTGGTTGTTTAGCCACCACTAACGAATTACTCGGTTTATTCTCTTAACAGTGTTGTCAAAAGCGGAGTCGGCAAGATTTCAGAATAAATGTCTTTCCAAGTTAGAATTCCACTCGAAATGGCTATACTTTTCTCTTTCGTGCCACGAGTAGCTGCGCTCCAATTCCCTCAACAAAGACCGAAGCCTTGAGTGTTGTTGATGAGGGACACCCTGAGATGATTTTTCTTCAAATTTGGATTTGAGTCTCCTTTCTGCGCGAACTGCAAATACATTACAAATGCTGTACTGAAGGACAAGACGGCGTCATTGTTGACCTTTGTTCGCCGTCTGCTTGAGCTATAATATAAGAAAAAAAAGGCCCGCCCCGTGCCCGTCAAATATCAGCGACAGGTGTCCATCAACGTGTTTTACTCTGTGATGTTGTTTCTGAGATTTTTGAGGCTGATAGCGCCGAACCTGGAGGAAGGCAAGGTTGAGATAAGCCACCGGCACTCTTTAGAAAGTGGAACGCTTTGGATTTGGGCATTGCTTTACTGTTTGTTCACGGGATTTGTGCACTGGAAGAGGATGGACATTCAGGGCTGAGACAGGAAGGACGTCTGCAGACTTGCTCTACGCCACGCAGAAAACTGAGCGGTCCAAAAAAAGGCTGCCGTCTTTGAATACAATTGAGAACGTTGACTCTTTCCGTATGGTAGCACGCGGATCAGCCGGGACATTTAAACCATCGAAATCTGCCCTGTGAAGACCATAATCTCCGATATCAATTCTGCAATGTATTTCTTAGTGTCAAAGGTCATTTTATAGTGTAGTATGTGTGTGTATAGAGAGAGAGAGAGAGAGAGAGAGATATTTCTTAGTGTCAAAGGTCATTATATAGTGTAGTATGTGTGTGTATAGAGAGAGAGATTTTGCCACGTAGCGAGCCACTGAAAAATAGATGACAGGCTGCAAATGGATGCCGGGCCGTAGTTTGGCCGCCCCTGGTGTAAAACCTCTCTTAATTTGGGAATTTTTCTTTCGGAAACTGAGTCATCATATTGAGAAAAGTGAGAATTCCGGGAATGTAGTCTGGCCGCCCCTGGTGTAAAACCTCTCAATTTGGGAATTTTTCTTTCGGAAACGGAGTCATCATATTGAGAAAAGTGAGAATTCCGGGAATGTGAGAAACCGTTGCAAAGATGACCTGAATGAGCTGAAAATTTTGATCAATCAAGAAATGCGGAAGGAGGTACATGTGTCAAATAGCTCTTCATTTCAGAATTTGGGAATTGTGGAATTTGGGGAATGTGGAAATTATTGGAATGTGGTTCCCAAGATATCTTGAATGAGCTTTTTAGTGCGGAATGGTTTCATTCTAGGGAAAGATGAGCAAAATGTCAGCAAAATATCATCTGATGAGCACACTTGGTCATTTCATTGGGGGAAAATGGCAATCTGGGGAATGTAGAAAAACATCGCCAAGATGTCATGGAATCGTTTGAATGGATGGAGAAAAGCGGAAGGAGTAGGAAGGAAAATAAATTGCGGGATAAACGCTAGCATTTTTGGGTGTAGAATAACGTGTGAACGCTGTTCGGCATCCCCCCGATTATCATCGCACCATCTCTTGGCAAACTTGAAACATGAGCATCAGTGACGCAGAAAGGGCTCGCTCCACTGAGAGCACTTCCCCACTCACGCACGCACACACACGCATTGTCTGTACCTCCTCGGCGTTCTTTCCGATTGCCAATAGACCTTGGTGATCACAAAGCCGGGGGTCTCAGGGCCAAAACAATTCAAGCGGCGCGCGCGCGCACACGCAAGGCGGCATCCTGCAATAGAAGCGGTATCAGCACCTGACACCTCGAAAACAGGAAAAGCGTTTCGCCCCCAGCGCGGATTGGTTGGAGCGTTTGAGGGAGGAGCGCCGCCAGACTTAAATAACCCGGCCGCTTGCGTCCAAACCTCACTGGGCGGAGAAAGGAGAAGTCCATCATGTCGTACTATGAGGTAGGTCAGCCCTGTCCAAAGCATTTGTCGTCCAGCTTCACGTGGGATCTCATCCTCCCTGTCGTCTTCAGCATATCCTCTTCGATTACGAATACAACGACACCAGTTCTGGCTCCGGTTCCGGCGACGTCGGGGCGGATCTGGAGGAGCCTTGCGAGGTGGAGCACGTGATGACCTCGGACTTCCAGCGGGTCTTTTTACCCGTGGTCTACGCCCTCATCTTCCTCCTGGGCATCACCGGGAACGGTTTGGTGGTCTTCGTGTTGGGCTGCCAGCGTAGGTGAGACGCCCGGATGAGCCGTCCTTTGGAAAAGTTCTCTTAAAATACCGAGTCTTCCCTTGGCTTATGTTTCAGGTCCAAATCCAGCCTCACCGACCGCTACCGACTACACCTGTCGGCCGCCGATCTCCTCTTTGTTCTGGCGCTTCCGTTCTGGGCGGTGGACGCGGCGCTGGCGGACTGGCGCTTCGGCGCGGTCGCCTGCGTCGGCGTGCACGTCATCTACACGGTCAACTTGTACGGCAGCGTGCTCATCTTGGCCTTCATCAGTCTGGACCGCTACCTGGCGGTGGTCCGAGCCACGGACACCAACACGGGTGGCCTGAGGCAGATGCTGGCGCACCGACTGGTCTATGCGGGTGAGTGTCTCCCATCGCGTTTTGACGAGCTCCGCCATCGCTTCTCCCTTTTGACCGGCCTGTCTTGGCGACACGCCCGGCCGCAGGTGCCTGGTTGCCCGCCGGCTTGCTGGCCGTTCCCGACTTGATCTTTGCCCGAACTCAAGAAGGAGGCGAGGGAAGCACCCTGTGCCAGAGGTTTTACCCGGCGGAAAATGCTCCTCTCTGGGTGGCGGTCTTTCACCTGCAGCTGGTCCTGGTGGGCCTGGTGATCCCGGGCCTGGTGCTCCTGGTGTGTTACTGCGTCATCGTCACCAGGCTGACCCGGGGACCTCTCGGGGGCCAAAGGCAGAAGCGCCGAGCGGTGCGGACCACCATCGCCCTGGTGCTCTGCTTCTTTGTGTGCTGGCTGCCCTACGGCGCCGGCATCTCTGCGGACGCCTTGCTGCGTTTGGAGGTTCTGCCCCGCAGCTGCCACCTGGAAGCCGTTCTGGGTGTGTGGCTGGCGGTGGCCGAGCCCATGGCGTTCGCGCACTGCTGCTTAAACCCGCTGCTGTACGCGTTCCTGGGGGCGGGTTTCAAAAATTCCGCCCGGAGAGCCTTGACCTTGAGCCGGGCCTCCAGTTTGAAGGTTTTACCCAGACGGCGCAACGGGGCCTCCACAACCACGGAGTCCGAGTCGTCCAGTTTGCACTCTAGCTAGTGTTAATTTATCCCGTGTGTGTGTGTGTGTGTGTGTGTGTGTGTGTGTGTGTGTGTGTGTGTGTGTGTGTGTAACAGAAATAATCGAGAATTTAAGGAGCAGTCTGCTGGCAGTCTTCTCTCTATTCTCATGTAAATATTTTGTTCACGGATTTCTTGTCGGTGCTGCTGTGCTTTCCCTGTGCTGGAACGGTGGATAATAAACATGGATAAAAACTCTTGTGTCACGTTTCATACTTCATACGTCTTCTTCCTGAGCTAATTACAACTGGAGCCACACAATTGCCACTTGAAGTCTGAAAGATGAGACAGTCGAAGCGCAATGAGCACCCCGCTTCAAACTAGAAACGTAATTTGTGTGCCAATGTGTCAAATGCGTTTTGTCCCCACGACGCAGAAGATGACACAGGCGATTCGTTCTTCATCCTCACTCGCTCGGGCATTTGAGATTTTACAAATTGATTTTCGCGTCCCGTCCGGACTCATCTGAGGAGGAAGAAATCAGTTTTGAACACAGAAAAGATTCAGCTTATGATTTTCTCAAACTCAAGCGAGTGACACGGGAATCTGCCGATTCTTGTCACTCAACACGGAAGCCCACTAGAGTCGGCGTCTAACTAGAAGTTTCCGCAGTTTCCTTCCAAAGCACACATTTTTGCTCCCGGTGACGCTTGTGTTCGATCTACTACCGAAACAAAATCTTGTTTCTCACGACGAGCCCCTGGATTTCTTGTGTCTGCGACATTTCTTCCACGTACGGACAACGGAGATGTTCTGTTCATGTGCGCTTTGCTCTCACGTCTTCAGTTTTCAAACCCCGCTCATCACAGTCCCCCGAGTTTATCGCTGGCCGCCTCGTCCCGTCTTTGTGAAAACGAGTTTGGCTCCCTTAAGCCCGCCAAGTTTCACACACCGGCTGACCCTGATTTCCAAGGCTCCTCTTGGATCTCTTCCATCCTATTCAGGGACTTCTTCAGAGAACCGCTAACGATTCTGTCACATTTTCCTTCTTTGTGATCCTCGCGTCAGAACTGAACCAGGGAGGAGAGTGTTCACTTTTGCTGCCCCCACTACCTGGAACTCTTTCGATTGAACTGAAGCGCTCCGTACTTACAATATGCTTTTGAGTCATGTGAATTGGCTTACGCTTCACTGCTTCTTAGGGCGGCAAAAAAAAAAAATGTTGCAATCATTTCGCAGTACAGTGTGACTTCAAGATCAACCAGCTGAAACCAAACATCGGGTCGCCACTGATCCAAATCGCGGATACAATAACATCGCTGTGGGAAGTGGCGTGTGAACACAGGTGAATCAGCCAGGCGGTGTGTGGGGGAATAATCCTCGCTGTGTGGACATGTTTGTGTGCGAGTGCGATGATCGTTTTGTTGCGTGACAGCAAAGGGTCGGGAGGTGTCTTTTTCTTTGAAGACACAAATATGTTCTCGTAAGCGGGTTGTGGGGTATCGAATGAAAAGAAAAAGCACATAAAAAGCCTTTGTCTTACTGAAAAGTTTTATGCCGGTGAGCTGATGATTTTTTTTTATGTTGATGTTTTGAGTGCGTCAAGCGGCCACACAAGGCAAGCGGTGAAGTCATCAAGGTCAAGTGTTAGCGTCCTTTATTTTTTTTCAACATTTCACACGAACGGTAGTTAACTTCTTTCCAAAAATGGATGATGGCCGAGCAATGTCTTCAGCTACGCATCCATTACACGGAAGCCATTTTATTGGTACAGTGATCCCTCGCTACTTCGCGGTTCGTTTATCGCAGGTTCAGTGCATCGCGGATTTTTTCAAACAGATTTTTAAAAAAAATAAAAATAAATATTTATTTTATTTTATTTTATTTTTTTTAATATACAACCCAGCCGCTGGGGGGCAGTGCCCTCCCCTGGGGGTGCACTGTTCCCCAGTGCCGGTCCCAAGCACACCCATAAAGGTTGATCTGCAAATAAATATACAGACACAAAATCTCAAATAATAACTACAGTGATCCCGTTCGTTTATCGTGGCTTCAGTGCATCGCGGATTTTTTCAAACATATAAAAAAACATATATATATATATATACATGGAGTACAGTACTTTATACGTTGCTCTATGTGACTCGCTGTTGTTTTGCAGCTTCTCGCGGACCGTTTGCGTACTTTTTGCGGACTTAAAAAAAAAAATTACCTGTTCATGTTAATTGGTCGCTACTTCGCGGATTTTCGTTTATCGCGGGTGGTTTTGGTCCCCATTAACCGCGATAAACGAGGGATTACTGTATTGATTTTTATTGATATTGATTTCGTCTTTTCTATTTGGATTCGAATGTTGCTTTTCAAAGCAGCCGTTGACTTGTTTCCTCGTTCGATCTGATTTTCAGTGGGAAGACGTTGACGCGGAACACGTCGGAGCTTCGACGTGATGTTCTACTTTTGCACGTTGCTTCGCAAGTCAACGCTTGAACCTGCAACTCTGTCGCTGGTAAATATTGGATTCATCTGCTATTCTACTTGGTGCTCATGGGAATATTTTAGCACACAAGCGCACACGCACACACACCCAAAGTGGTCCCCGCATCACCACTTCCACTCGGAAGCGAGCGAAACAGAAGCTGGAAGTTTACTGTGCCCGGTTTCCTGGATCAAAGAAAAGGATGAAGATGAAGAGGAGAGTTTGGAGACGGATGATGAAGTTTTGGTGAAGGTTGCGCCAACAACCAAAAAAAAAGAGTGTCTATCGCCATGTCCAAATGTTGCGTGTCAACGTGGGGCACCATGCAAAAATCCACCTTCAACCTGCAGGCCTTTCTTTCTCACATCCCAGCACATCACCCCCCACCCCCTTTCTATTCATAGGGCCTTCAAAACAGGAAAGACTTCCTGCAACTCATTTTAGGAAAAACAAGCAGCTCAAACAATCAGGCAAACCAAGCAGCACTGCGCTTGACAACGCCGAGAGCGGCAATAAAGTAAATGTGACCGCGTGGAGGAGACATAAAAGGATGCTGAAATCGCAGCCCTCGTACAAACCTACTGCAAACGTGTAAGCAGTAGAAATCCAGATGATGCTTCCTTGATCAACCAACGAATCATCACCCAAGTAGAATTCTCTCCGCTTCTTCTTGCTGCGGACGATGAGAATTTAAATGAAATGTTTAGCGCAAAGAAATGTTTGCTTCATGACGAGGCACAAGGGTGTTCATCGTCATTTCAATTAAACCACAATGCTAATGTTGAGGAACTGCATTGCCCCGGCCCAACCCCCTCCCAGAGTGTTTGGTGAGGAAAAAAAAACTAAAGCAATAAACTAAAGACCGAAATACTTTATTGGACCGGAGATGAGATGAGTTTGTTTTCATATTTGTGATTTTATTGGATTGCAGCTGTAACACACACACACACACACACACACACACACGCACACACACACACGCACACACACACACACACACACACACATGCACGCTTTTTCTTAAAGGACAAGTTCTTCACAAGCAATGACTACCAAATGATCACATCTTTGCTTTGCACAACCGGTTCATCATGTGGGAAATGCGTGACCCCCCCAGAACAGGCCATCGGCAGTTATCCTGTTTATCGTTGTTTCTTCCTCTCAGGAACTTTAGTCAGGAGTTTGTGTTTTGTATTTTGACACCTGGACAGATGTCTAAGCAACAATATAATTTTATTAATCGTGCAACTCTTCGGATTTTCATTTCACGACATGTACTGTCGTGATGTTATCGCGGTTCATCGCGCAAAGGCACCATTTTGCCTGCAGGAATTCTTTCACAGGCTCGAAATTGGTTGCTTTGCCGTTTGCATCCAAGCAGGACGAGTTTTTCACTTGTGGTTTCACTACCGAGAGCGTCTGAACAATTGCACTGCTCTCGGGATTAAATGTTTGAATGCTCTTAATGCTGACTTTCAGGATGCTCTTAAGGGGCATGTAAGCGAGGGTGTGTGTGTGTGTGTGTGGGGGGGGGTCATTTGCTTGCTTGCCTGTTTTGTCTCAAAGTGTTTGCCGACAGGTGGTCAGGCTCTCTCATACTCAGACGCGGTTTGTCTTGAGTTTCCTGTGACTGAACAATCGTGGGAAAAGCAGAGGTCAAGACAGAAGGAGAAATAAATTGACGGGGTTTCGTCCAAATGGCGTGCAACAACTTCCTGCTTTGTTCCTTGTGGATTAATACAATGTGACAGGTGAAACCAATTGCCTCCTGACAGTGTTCATAATGAGCGCCTTGTGCAGATGGAAAGCCGGCAAGGATATGGGAACCACGGGAGAAGGGAATGAAATAATAAAGTGTTTCATCTCGCAGATGTTGCTGTGATTGAACCCTGCCTCGGTCCGATTTCATATGCAGGGGCCTTGTGTTCCTGTGCGCATTGTGGAGTTTTGCCATGTAAACAAGTAGTCAGCTGAAAGCAGTTGTGTAGGAAGTATCAACTATGTTGGGGATATCTGAGGACAATTGATCTGTAAGCGGAAGGGATTCAAGTCACTGTGGAGACTTGGCTCGGGAGGGCTCTCGAGGCCGACAGGGGGCCGTAAGTTTGGAAATAAGGAATGGCTGTTGGAGAGATGCCGAGTCACTTTACGAACGCTACAGCGATGCCCTTAAACAAGGCACATATAACACTTGTATTCTCTGAAAAAAATTATTGGCTCTCCTGATCATGTTCAACAAGCGATGATGATAATAATAATAATAATAATAATAATAATAATACATTTAATCTATATTGCTGTGAAAAAGTATTTGCCCGCTTCTCAAATTTTTATTTTCTTGAATACTTTCCCCACTTTATTATTTAAGATCATCAAACAAATGCAAATATTAGACAACGTGAAGTAAACCCCCAACACAAGCAAATATAAAAGTTTTTTTTTTAATCGCGATTTTATTTATTAAGTGGAAAAAAAATAACCTCTTCGAAGCTAACTGACCCGATGTGAAGAGGAAATAAGTCCGTTGGAAGAATTTAATACAATTTCATGGCTCAAATTTCAGAATTTAGGTTGTAAATGCAGGTCATTTCTTGTCATCCATCAATCTTTCAATGTTGGGTAAAATTGGGAGTTTCACTGCCCTCTCGTGGACACATGTGAAACTCAATTTCTTACAATATAATTAGTAGTTTAAACTGTATTTGCCAGAAAACAACAGTGATGAAACGAGAACGTTCCATACACTTCTCAAGTGGATAGAATGCAGAAAATAGCACACAATCGAAAGTATTTGGCCGAAATGATCTTTCCCTAAACGTCATTGGACTCGTTAGGACACGGGACTTCCTGCGTTTCGAGAGCGTAACTCTTGATTGGTTAAAAACGCTGCTGTATTTACATACCAGTTCTGATTGGGCGAAAGTGGCGCGCCAAACGTCACGTGGTGTAACTTTTCGCGCGAAACTCTGCCCTCCTTGGTGGACCTCGTTGTTCGGTACTGTGGTTGTATTGTTTCGTATTTCGAGTTTTATACACTCGTTTTGGATCACATCAGCATGGATGTCGCCACAGCGGCCGCAGAGAATGTCGGGGAGATGGTGAAAGACGAGTTGGCGGACAAGTGTCAGAAGTTGTTCCAGGCTTTTTTGGAGGAGTAAGTCAAGCAAAACGCTCGATGCATAGTTGTTCGCGAAAGAGTATGCTCGTACGCTTTTATTTTGCATTCAAACAGGTAGCAAAAGTCCTCAGGCTCTGAAGTGCAGATACTTGTGTAAGACAAAACTGTTAAAAGTATTGTGTTCTATTCACTTATTACTTAAGTAAAAGTTTTTAGAAAATGGAGTGGAAGTCACTTGAAAAAGTAACGAGCCTTTCTACAGAAGAGTAGAAGGCATGTTTTCAAATATTTGGACTTCACTACTTCCAACCACTGCAATAAATCATAATAATAATAATGATAATGGCACGTGTGCAGGTTCCAGACTGCGGATGGAGAAGTGAAGTATGTCAGTGAGGCAGAGGAGCTGATCCGACCTGAGAGGAACACGCTGTTAGTTAGCTTCATTGATCTCGAGGTCTTCAACCAGGAGCTGGCCACCACCATCCAAGAGGAATATTACAGGTGCAAAGCCTTTGAATTTGCATTGTTCGTATGGACGTTGTGTCTGCTCATCGCTGTCAAACTGAAGGCCCAGGGGAGAGATCAGACTTGTCACAAGAGCTCGCACTGCTGGGGATGTTTTTAAAATGAAGACTTGTTTAAAAGTAGTAATTGTATGCATGTGTGTCAGTGATTCTGGCTGCTTCCTGTTTTCAGAGTGTACCCTTTCCTCTGTCGGGCCGTCCGCAACTTTGCGAGGGATCATGGCAATGTTCCTCTCACAAAAGAGTTCTACGTGGCCCTTGAAGATCTGCCAACTAGACACAAGTGAGATTCGTTTACACTACTCGCACAAAATTAGGGATACTAAACTCTCAGATGAGATTTCAGGATGAGTCCGAGATGCACCAGAACCTTTACAACAGAGTCAATACAGATTCCAACTGTTGATGAATAGACAGATACATGTCCCAGTTTACTTCAAATTTGTATTCGAACAGCATTGGCTCCCATCATTGTTTTGTTTAACTCATTTACTGCCATTGACGGCTATAGAAGTCAAAAGGTTCTTTGTTTTTCCATGGGCCAGCGGTGATTGTGTTTTAACCGTTGCGTGATTGTAAGATTAACAGATCAATGTTGCCGTGTACTTCAGAATTCGTGAGCTGTCATCCATGCGCATCGGCACCCTGGTGAGGATCAGTGGTCAGGTTGTGAGGACACACCCTGTCCACCCTGAACTGGTGAGTCATCTGTTAGCTGGTGACCGACGCTGTTTTTGGTCGTGACCATCTGTGTGGTTTTCAGGTCAGCGGCACCTTCCTGTGCATGGACTGTCAGGCGGTGATCAAAGACGTCCCTCAGCAGTTCAAGTACTCGCCGCCCACCATCTGCCGAAACCCAGCCTGCAACAACCGCTCGCGCTTCCACCTCGACACGCACAAGTCCAAGTTCATCGACTTCCAGAAGGTAACTCGGGAGTTCACGGGCGTGAGTGTGAAAGATCACAAGGTCGTTTGATGATGCGGTTTGTCTTTGGCTACGTTCAGGTGCGTATCCAGGAGACGCAGGCCGAGCTGCCCCGCGGTTCAATCCCACGCTCACTGGAGATCGTCCTGAGAGCCGAGGCGGTGGAGACTGCTCAGGCCGGCGACCGATGCGACTTCATTGGCACGCTTATTGTGGTGCCAGACGTTTCACAGTTCAGCACTCCTGGTACGGTTTCAAATTGTCCTACTCATGGTTTCAAATTGTCCTACTTATTCTCACTTTTTTAATCATCTAATTGTGTGGATTCCCTTCCCAGGTCTGCGAGCTGAGACCAGTACCAGGGTAGGCGGACCTCAGCGCTCCGAGTCGGAGGGTCTGAGGGGATTGAAAGCTCTGGGAGTTCGAGAGCTGTCCTACAGATTGGCTTTCCTGGCCTGTAATGTCACGCCCACCAACCCTCGGGTAAGAGTGAAAAACGGAACAAGAGACCCAAATTCTTGGTTCACTTTCAGCAAGCTTGATAACGATCCTGATCTCGAGGACCGGACATGGGCGGCCCCGCTTTACGGTCTCACTTAACTGAAGTCAGAGTTTTTGTGAAACTCGAACATTTTGTTTGAGTTCCAATTTGTGCGACCGTAGGCGGTGTTGAGGTTTTGAGCGATTGCCGGATTTCTAAAGGTGACGTTTCTATTTGTAGTTTGGCGGCAAGGAGGTGCGGGAGGAGGAGCAAACGGCCGAGAGCATCAAGAGCCAGATGACCGAGCGAGAGTGGGAGAAGGTGTTTGAGATGAGTCAAGACAAGAACCTGTACCATAACCTGTGCACCAGCCTTTTCCCCACCATCCACGGTCGGCGCCGCCAAATGAACCAACAACAAATGCGCTTGGTAAAAGATGCATCGTTTCAATGCGGCTGTAATTGCGCAGGCAATGACGAGGTGAAGCGCGGCATCCTTCTCATGCTGTTCGGAGGCGTCCCCAAGACGACCATGGAGGGAACCTCGCTGAGAGGAGACGTCAACGTCTGTATCGTGGGAGACCCCAGTACTGCCAAGAGCCAGTTCCTCAAGTAGGTGCACAAACAGGTCCAGTGCAAATGGTCTCTAATATTCTAAAATACTCTTCCTCAGTATATCTCATAACAATCGTTTTTATAGTTTATTTACTGTGATGCCCTTCTATGTGGGAAAGGAGAC